AGGGGTTTGTGCGGGGAGAAGGGTGCAACAATGAATGAATGGAATTCCAAAATCTCTGTAGATGTTCATTGAAATGAAAAATAAACAAACTAAATTAAAATTTAAAAAATTTTAAAAAAAAAACCCAAAAACCTAAAGTACATTGCCAACGAAGTGAAACTGACTCATAACTGGCTTTCCAGCAGTTTTTTTAGAGACTGAAAAATAGCATTTGTTGAATTGCCCATCTTTCTGCCAAAAAGCAGTTTTTGGATTTGAACTTTCGGAGAGGTGTCTGTCTTTAGGATAGTAGTGAAACTCCCTCTGAACTAAACCACCGGAAAGCTAGGATGACTGGACAGCAAAAATATAATGTCATCCTAGGAGAACAGAAAGATGAATTACTTGTTACCTTGTTCTTGAGAACCATAGAGCTAAATTTTCCTAAGTTAAAAAATAATTTTTAAATGAATTGTATAATAAAAGGAAGAACATTATCATAAGAATAATTTTGGATGAGCCTTACAATACTTAAGACTTGGACTTGAATATGAATCAATATTTATCAAGGAATTGAATTGTGAGTACATTTTTTTTTTACTTTTCAGAGTTATATTCAGCTTTCAATATTATCCCTTAATTTAATGTGTATACTATTACTGGCCCAATAGAAAATAAAACTGTTAATGCAGTGCTTTGAGCCTCCTTCTCTATATTATATATAGAGAGAATAATGATATTAAGATGGCCAAGTAATTTTGAAGGGAAAGAAGTAGGGAGGCTCTGCATGATCTGATTACAGAATTAGCCTAATCTGCCTTTCCCTTCCAATATCTTCATGTCATTTAATCTTCCTCCAGTCCCACATTTCTAACTTGTGAGAAGACAAAGAATTCTCTCATTATTTCTGCAGTTTCCTGAGGTTTAATTTCTCAGGGTCTCTTTGCCTTTGATCTGTTGTGTTGAGTCTAAGATTTTGTGCTTTGGTGCAAAGCAAAATCCACCCCTTCAACATTGTCACAGGAAAGTCACAAAACAAAACAAAACTCCACCAAAAATCAAGAACAACCCACCTCAAAACAAGTGTATTTTGAGTTTTCTCATTCTACTGTTAGAATTAGGAGTCATACTTTGAAGCACCTCATGCCCTTCTGTTCTCTCCTTGCCAACCCCTTCCTTGCTCTACATCATATCTCTGCTTTTTTCCTTTGGGTAGCCCCAGAAGTTCCATATTATTCTCTTTCTTGTAGCAAGGGAGTTCTGGTGGTGTAGTCCTATAGTGAGTTGCTTCACTAACCCAAAGACTGCACATCTGCAGTGGTTTGATTCCACCAGTGGCTTGGCAGGAGGAAGATGGGAAGTCCCCTTCTGTTGGAATTTATAGCCTCAGAATCATCCTGGAAGTCACTATGAACTGGAGAAGACGTTATAGCAGTGAGTTTTATTATGTAGACTAGTTCCGCAACCTTTGCTTTCAAACCCACATAACCAAATTCATTGAGATCATCTTGATAAAGGCATGACAGAGTTAGAATGCGCCTGCTGGAGGCTCAATGCCTGCATTTGTAGCCCAACTTTTCCACTGATACATAAATGGCTTGGGGTAAATTACTTAGCCTCTTTGGTCTGTGAAATAATGGCAATAATAATAGTACCTCTTAGGATATTTTGTAAAGATCTAATAACTTGTGTGAAAGTGAGTTTTTTACAGGTGTTCATAGGGTTTACTCCTTGTTTTTTCCTCTTTATTTTACTTTCTTATAAGAGTTGCTGAATAGTGCACTTAATATGCTGAGCTGTTAATTGAAAGGTTGGAAATTCAAATCCACCCAGTAGTGCTTTGAAATAAATGTCTTTTATATAATTCTGATATTGTAAGAGATGCTCTGATAGCCTAGTCTGTAGGGGTTTTACTACCTAACACAAAGGTTGCTTCTTATGATGGTTGACACACAAAAGAAGCTCTGTGTGAAAAAGACAATAATCTCCTCCCATACAATTTACCTCCTCAGAAACCTAGAGAAGGATTATCTATGGGTTGGGTCTTATTTGAAAGCAATGAGTTTGAGTCCAAGTTTTTAATTGTTGAGTTTATTGTAACATATTAAATAAATGGTTATGTTTCTTTATTTTCTTCATTAACCACAAACGTTTAGAAGGTGATGAGCAACTTTTATTTATATTTGTGTCTTAAGAACATGGTTTAGCTAAAGATTCCAGTTGGATAATCTGTGGACAGTAATCAGATCTTGGGAAGGCATAGAGCACTCAACACCTGATTTTTGAGGAGTAGATATCTAGGTCTTTCTTCCAAGGTACATCTTGTTAAGACAAACTATCAGATCTTTGGTTATCAGCAAAGAGAATTAGCCATGAGCACCACCAGGAACTTTATGCAATGCATTTCTGTTACCTGTCATCAAGTTAACCTATGATAAATCCATGTACCATGGATTGTACCTTTGTGATCCATACAGTTTTCAGCACCAGATTGTTTGATACCAGCATTTCTTTCTTTGTAGTTGTCTCAGTCTAGAATCTATTCTGAACTCTGTTCATCATCACAGCAACACACAGTCCTATACAGACAGATGGTTGTTCTGCTTGAGGGTACATTGACTTAGAATTGAACCTGTATCTCACATATGAAAAGTAGAAATCCTCTTCTGAGTTCTATGTTGGAGAATACCATGGAATATGTGGAGTACTGCAAAATTTATGTTTAACATATGGTACTGTAGTTAAACTCATAATAGCAACACAGATGTTTCATTCATTAGACAGCAATCTTAATTAACCACTTTTTATTTTTCCACACTTGTTGGTTTGGAGTGTGACAACCATCCTGGACTGACTGCTGACTGTGTTTACCATTGGACATTTTTCAGACCTCAAGCAGTGGAAGGCACTCTGTTCGAATCACTGGACTCAGCACTATCGATTTCCGAGCTGGGTTTTCAAGAAAGCCCACCCTGGACTTCAAAACAACAGTCAGCAGACCTGTACAAGGTTTGTATGTGTATGTTAATTCAATTGGTTTAATCAACATCTTAGTCAAGAATATGTTTTGAACTGTAAGGCAGTCTCTTCCCATGCAATTGTGTGCCTGTGAAAACCTGCTGAAGGGTCAGCCTAAGGTTCTTTCTCACTCGATGGTAGACAACAACAACAACAACATTTTGTTGTTTTGCATATTCAATAACATTCACATAGTCTGTCTTTCTGAAAGTGTGATCGCGACACCATGATATAAATTCACTCAGGACATTAAAATCTAAATATTAAGATTCCTATGTCTCAGTCTAGATCTCCTTAATTATATTTGCTGAAGTTAGGGCTTCAACTAGGCATTTTAATGACAATTTTAAATTTTCTTTCTTTACTTCCTAAATTTCAAGAAATCTTTGACTCAGATTTTGAGAATTATTCTAATTAAATCTATAATTTGCTTTATTGTCTTGGTGAAAATGTAGATTATGTGTGAATAAAAACCAAAGATAAAATTGTTGCTGATTTTTAAAACTTTTTCCTCCCAGCTTATTCATGCATATAAGTCAAAGTTTTATCTCTAGAAAAGAAGCTCAAATTTCCTTTACCTTTTATGGGTTTTTCCCCCATTTATTCTTTTATTTTTATTGATGCAGTTTCTGAAAGAGTTCACAACAGTGAATTCTTAAAGCTTGTCAGATAATCCAGGATCATGTTATGTAGTGTTAAATAAACCCCCAAATCAATACTTCAGATTTTTTAATTTAAATATAGTTAAGAAACTATAAGGATAATTAGTCACAATTCCTTAAATCTCCTTTATGTAGAAAATACTCATTTACTATTGGCAGGGTAATCTGTAGTCCTACTGATTTTTATGGCACCATTTTTTGTTATGATGGAGATACTTACTTGGTATAGTATCCCAATTTCATCTTACTTATAAATAATAAAATCTTTCTTTTGTAGGAATACCTACCTATGTGCTGCTGAATACTTCTGGAATTTCCATTCCAGCTAGAGTCGATCGTCTTGAACTTCTGAGTATATCAGGCAATTCTCTTAAGACTATACCTGTTAAATATTACCCAGATCAAAAACCCTATGGCATATGGAATATTTCTGAATTCATTCCGCCAAATGAAGCTTTCTTTCTTAAAGTCACAGGATACGATAAGGATGACTATCTCTTCCAGAGAGTGTCAAGTGTGTCCTTCTCTAGTATTGTCCCAGGTAAGACATCATTCCCCACCTCCCCCTCCATACTAAGTTATTGATAGCTGACAGAAGTTACTATGATCAGATAGGGTTTCTTAAAATGAATTATAAAATCATAAATAATATCTTTATATTACCATTGTGTTAACTAATGGACAGGCATTTCTTTTTTAACCATAAAATAGCATATTTGAATTTTCACATTAATTTTCATGATTATAGATCTGGAAATTTTTATTATTTGAGTAATTATAAGAACATTTAGACTAGAAAACTCTATGTACTTTCTCCTCCCAGAAATGCCTGGCACGTATGTTTGATTCAATTGTCTAAATGAACAAATGGTCATATGTTGAAGATTATATACCCTTCTCTTCCACTGGAAATGAACAGGGATGATTCTGACTTTATATATTTTTCTTACTTAATCAAAAGAACGAAAAAGAAACAACTCCAAACACCCAAACCTGTTCTTGTCAAGGTGTTTCTGACTTCTAGCAAACCTGTAGGACAGAGTAGATTTGGGCCATAGGGTTTCTAAGGAGCTCGGTGATTAAAGGTGCTAACAGAAAAGTGGAGGGTTCGAATCCACCAGCTGCTCCTATTGAGAAAGGAGTAGCAATCTACTTCTGTTAAGATTTACGGGCTTGAAAATCCTGTGGGCAGGTTTAATGTTCTGTAGGGTTACTATCACTCAGAATCAACTGCTTGGTAGTGGGTGTTCAGTTAACCTTTGTGAACGCTGACTATCACATCTTTCTCCTATGGAATGACTAGTGTGTTAGAACTCCTAGTCTTTTAGTTAGAAGCGAAATGTTTTAACCATTTCATCACTGGGATACCCAATTGATTCATTAATTCTAATATAATTATTTATATATTTATTCTCAAACAGAAATGAACTCACAGATTGGGAATTATTTGGTGGCATCAGCTACATTTCAGTTATTTCTCAAGACCTAAACTTTAGGACTTTAGCTCAAACCATTGACACAGGAACTTTTTAAAAATTTTACTATTGGAAGCAGGAACAAAAGTTTGCCATTTATACCTAAAGTTGTGAGTTTGGAAATTCTGTAGCTATACTTTAATATTTGAATGATAAGGATAGGCTCAACCTCAGTGATTCTACATATATAATATTTAAAGTCAGTTAACATAAAATATTCATAGTCTAATTATTACAGAACAGATTTCATTTTTAATTGAAAATAAATTCAGTTTGAGAAAGCAATTACCCTAATACTGTATTCTAATATATTTAGAATATATTTTTGAATTGAAAATGTACCTTATAATTGATAATGTAACATTTCAGGGTTTTGTTGGATTTTTTTTTCATCTTAGTTGTTTAAAAAATGATGCACTGTCTTAAAATCAGTGAATTCTTCAATTCAGTCAGTACATGGTCAGTGGATATCTATGAAAGTATCCAGAAATGATTGAATATTGAAGTAATAAATACAATTAATGTCAGTTTTATGGATTTGGGTTAATGACAAAGCAGAGGTTTTCATGGCAGGATTATATTTTAACACCAATGATTCTGGATAGACTAACTGGAAATACTCAACGATTTGGTGACCTTTTTGCTCATGCTCTTTCTTTCTAGATGCCCCCAAAGTTACAATGCCTGTGAAAACTCCAGGATACTACCTGCAGCCAGGCCAAATTCTCTGCTCTGTTGAGAGTCTATTGCCCTTTACTGTGAGCCTTGTCAGAAATGGAGTAACACTTGGAGAAGACCAGTATTTAAAGTGTGTAAATATTTCTTTGAGTAATACATTATGGCTTTACAAAAACAAATCTAAATGCAATAAGATAATATTTTTTACATTTTCTTTTTATTGTGATTTTTAAAGTTTATGGAAAAGTTGGATTTTCCTTCATTCATCATTACACATTTTCCTCCCTATCCCCAACCCCAGTTACCTTTTCTCTCAAAAAAAAAATTCATTTATTTTTGCACAATTTCCTCCCTCCTCCCTATATATCATTTTAGAAAACGTATTTTCTCATTTATTTGTATGAATGACGAATTGGAATTTTTAAAACTACTTAATAACTTTCTTTTTAAAGGTACAGACAGTAGTGTTTTGGTTTTTGGTTTTTGGTTTTTTTCATTGTGCATCATAAAATAATCTTTTGGATGCATTTTTTTTCTTCTAAATTCTCACCTATTTGCTCTATAGTCTTGAGATGTTGTTGTGTGCCTTCGAGTTAGAGCCTACCCGTAGCTGGCTCTCCAGTGGTTTTCAGAAGTGGTTAATTACATGAGAGGAAATGCCCATCCTTCTTCCTCAGTGAGCTGGTGGATTCAAACTTTATTCTTTTGGGATTGCAGCTCAGCTTCTCACCTTTAGGTCACCAGAGTCTTGGAACTGGAAAAAAAATGCAACTCCTTGCTACGATTTGATTCCAACTCATAGTAACCACATGAGATAGAGTAAAACTGCTTCATAGGCCTAACTGTAATCTATACGAAAGCACCCTGCTTCATCTTCGTCCTGCAGAACTCCCCATAAGTTTGCATCACGAACCTGTTGCTTAGCAGTCAAGCACTCAATTCCTGTCCTATGAGGACTTCTATCTTGAGTCAGGTTGTGCTGTCCAGTCAGAAGCAACTTTTAGCTGACCCTCCAGCAGATTTTCGGAGACTGGAAATCACACGGGAAGAGAATGCCTGTCTTTCTCTCCTGGAGTAGTTAGTGGATGTGAACCACTTGCTTTGAATTAGCAGCACAACTCCCTACTCTCTAGGCCACCTGAGTTTTGAGATATACTAATGGTTAATTCAGGCATAAATTTGTGCCCTCCTGGAGCTTGTATATAACTGATGAATACAGATAATATATATATGATATTATATGATATGATATGATATATGATATCATATATGATATATATGATATGATATTTTATGATATGATATCACATTCTAGAGTATGTTCAAAGGCTGATTCAAAGTTGATTTGGATTTTATTCCATATCAATCTTGAATAAGCTATCTTGTTCTGATAATGCATATAAAATTATTAATATAAATTTAGTAGTGAACCTTGGAAAGGGACCTTGTAAATGAGAGGCCTTGCAGCTTGATCTTTATTGACTTCAGTGTAAACTACCTCTAAATTACCTAATCTAAATCTATCTAATGATAACTTGGAGTACCTTTCGGAAACCAGGAGGAGAATTCTTTCTGGTATAATTTTCTGGAATTATTTCCTTTTTAACTATTGTGAAACAAAATACAATTGGGGAAAAACTCTAGAAATGTTTTGGGTTTTAGTAAAACTTTTGTACTGCTAATTCAATTTTAACAAAAATAACTTCTATAAAACACTAATTATTTGTCAATATCAATTTTTGTAATCTCTTTTGTAAAAGGAACAAGTGCTCAGGACAGCTATATCTGACTTCTACTGACTCCCAAACCACCAACATCCACAACACAAAACCAGTCTCCATTAGATCAGACATTTCCCCCATATTACTGCACCTCTTTCTACTAATTCTAATACCAATTTTACTGGGTCCAAAATACATTTCAATATCTCATAGCCCACACAGAACCATATGTACTCTATCTATTGGATTTATTGTTGTTGTTGATTGTGGAGTCAAGCAAGACTCATGGTGACCCTATGAACAAAAGGTCTGAAACCTTTCTATAACTATCGTCATTTATTAAGGAAGTAAAAATGCTATAACTCAGGTTGGTGGCAGAATACAAACACTAGGTTAGGTTAGCTACCAAAATGTGTTCACATACCCCTCAGGCTTCAGCCTCTTGGCTTCAGACCTGTGTTACAAAGTTCTTGGCCCTGTGAAAAATGACTCTCTCTTTATCCTCGAACAAACTTGGGCAAGGTCTCCTAGCTGTAGCGCCACAGGGTAGCAGTCCACAGGTCAACTCTGTCTCATGTCAGATCTCTGACTCTCTACTCCAGCTGCTACTGCTCTCCTGTAAGTTTGGCTGATGCAAAAATCTCTGGCCCCAAAGGGCATTCACGGTTTTCCTATTTCTTTGCTGGTGGTGAAATCCACAAAATCTGCTGCTGAATCTGCTCAGTTTAATGGCGAGACTAGCCAGTCTCCTTGTGGATAAACTAACACACTATTTGCATATTTCCACCTAACCACATAGTAAAATCAAGGCAGGGCTAGGAAAGCCATTCTGAACAATAAGCCCATAATTCCACGCCTTTATAGGAGGCCATTTTAAGTAAAATCTTAAGAGATCAGTGGTCTTTACAACCTGAGGAAATTTTAGATTCTTTAAAGATTGAATGATACTACTTCATGCCCTGGATGTGCTCACCAAGTTGTGCCAAGAAGTCTGGAGGACAACCACCTGGCCTACTGATTGGAAGAGATCTATATTTATTCCCATTCCAAAAAAGGTGACCTGAAAGAGTGTGGAAATTATCGAACAGTATCATTGATATCACATGCTAGCAAGATTCTGCTGAAGATTATCCAAAAATGACTGGAACAGCACATCAACAGAGAACTGCCTGAAGTGCAGGCTGGATTTAGAAGAGGCCATGACACTAGGGCTATTATAGCCAATGTCAGATGGATCTTGGCTGAAAGCAGAAAATACCAGAAGAATGTCTATCTGTGTTTCATTGACTATGCAAAGACACTTGACTGTGAGGATCACAACAAACTGGCTGACTCTGGGAAGAAGGGGAATCCCAGAACACTTGATTGTGCTTATGCAAAACCTATACTTGGACCAGGAGGCAGTCATCAGAAAAGGGCAAGGGAATACTACATGGTTCAAAATTGGGAAGAGTGTGCAACAAAGATGTGTCCTATTGCCATATCTTTTCAATCTACATGTTGTTGATGTTGTTATGTGCCATCGAGTCACTTGAGACTCATAGCAACCCTATGTACAAAATCCCTAAGCTCTGCTCTGTCCTGTGCCAATTGCACTGTCTCCGATACACCCATCCCGATTACCCCAGTCACTTAATCAATCCACTTCATAGAGGGCCTTCCCCTTCTGCACTGTCCCTCCACCCTACTAAGCATGATGTCCCTCTCCAAGGACCTGTCCCTCCTTGCAACATGTCCAAAGTATGTTAGATGGAGCCTCAGAATCCTTGCCTCCCAGGAGCCGCCCGGTTTAACCCTTTCCAGGATGAATCTGTTTGTTTTTCTAGCAGTCCATGGTACCCTCAATACTCTTCTCCAGTATCAAAGCTCAAAGGCATCAGTTCTCCTATCCTCCTTAGTCACTGTACAACTCTCTGATGCATGACAATTGATAGCAAAGACCATGGCCTGTATCAGAAGCATCTTAGTCTCTAAAGAGACACCATTGCTCTTCAGTACTTTGGAGAGGTCCCTAAGAGCAGACTTCACCATTGCAATATGTCTTTTAATTTCCTGGCTACTGGTGCCAAGAGTGTTGACTGTGGAGCCAAGCAAACTAAAGCTGTGAACAATCTCAATCTCTTCACCATCCTTCCTGATGCTGCCAATTGGTCCAGTGGTGAGAATCTTTGTCTTTTTGACATTGAGACTCAATCCATATTGGAGGCTGCAGTCCTTGACCCTCTGCAGCAAATGCTTCAGGTCCTCCTCAGTTTCAAAAAGCATGTTTGTGTCATCTTCATAACGCAGATTGTTGATGTATCTTCCACCAATGCTGACCCCCCATTTCTCCTCATAGAGCCCAGCCTCCCGGATAAGCTATTCTGCATGCAGGTTGAAAAGGTATGGAGACAGGACACATCCCTGGGGTACGCCCTTCCCAGTTTTGAACCATGCAGTGAGTGTTTCCTTGCTCTGTTCTGATGACTGCCTTTTGGTCCAAGTATAGGTTTCTCAATCTACATGCAGAACAGATTATCCAGGAGGCTGGGCTCTACATACTTTGGACATGTTGCAAGGCGGGATCAGTCCTTGGACAGGGACGTTATGCTTGGGAGGGTGGAGGGACAGTGCAGGAGAAGAAGACCCTCAATGAGATGGATTGATTCAGTCACTGGGGTAATGGGATAGGTGGGTCAGAGACAATAAGATTGGCAAGGGTTTAGGGCTGTTGTATATATGGTAGCTATGTGTCGCAGGTGACTCAACGGCACATAACAACAACAAACAACAATTTGATAATTTACTTAGCTGGTAGCTAGTTCCAGAAAATCAAATGCTGAAGCTACACTACTGACTAACAAAAATAAAATAATTCTATTTCAGGTTTAAATAACTTCTTCCAAGACAATTGGGATTCTTTATAAACATTAATTTCTCACAATTCCTGGGAGGTGGGCCACAAAAATCCCTTTTCTCAGTTTTTCCAAGTCTGTAGCCCAGAGATATGACAAGCTCTGTGTACATACATGAAGCCTTTTGGAAGTGAGGTGCTAGAGACAAAATTAGGCATGGGTGATGATGGATTGACACTTTAATCCTTATTTACTCATTTAATTCTACCCTAGAACTCCTAATAACTTGAGACATGTGACTTAATCTCTGTTTATGTCATCCACTTAGGCCACTAGGGAATGGATGAAGGGATTGGTTTGCATTAGCAGGAATTTTTTTTTCATTTTTATGATTTTTTCCCAATTTCCAAAGACTATCCTATTAAAACTATTTCAATATGGCTTTTAGTGATTAACATTAAATGAGAGGGCTACAAGAAAATAATAATCATTTTCATTCAATATTTTATAAATGAGAGAAATAGATAAAATAATAAAGAACATCCTTCAAACAATCAGTAACTAGTTATGTGCTTTTGAACAAATTACTTGCCCTTCTTTCATTTTTCATGTTTTAAAATGAGGAAATTAGGACTGAAGATAGTAGTGTTCTTTTCCAAAACATCTGTGAACCTACATATTTTATGAATCCTAATGTATGCTCATCTCTGAAATAGTCATTGCTTTCCCAAATCCTGCCTTCCTGAAACTTACTGAAAGGATGACATTTATAGACTTTTTATACCCTCCCTTACTGCAGTTGTCAGTTCTGACTTTAGCGGCCCTTCGTTGGGTTTCTGGACCAGCACACCTTTTCCCTCAGAGCTTCTGGTGGACTTAAACCAACTTTGGGTTAACTCCACTTGGAACTTGTACATAAAAATAAGAAGACGGTCTCTTCTTAGAATAGGTTGAAGGTTGAAGAGTGGAGTATACTCGGGGTGGGGCTGGGAGGGGGGGATTGTATACCAATGAAGGAATTTTTCTTTTACTTTTCAAAAAAAAGAAAACTGAGAGGGGCATAGGGAGAAAAGTGTAACAATAAATGAATAAAAATCCAAAATCTGTAAATTTTCACTGGAATTAATAATAATAATTTAAAAAAGAATAAAAATTTTGTTTTCTCCCTTGACCTTCATTAATTTCCTTGACAAACTACTTTGACTTAAAAAATTATTTAATATGACCAGAAATTATAAAAGATAAACAAAAAAGGGAGGATAAAAATAAGTGTTTCTCTGCAAGCACTTTCATCTTATATTTTTTACAAAGCGATAATATGTTTCCTTAATGAAATTTTCTGTCCCTTTAATTTATTTTGTCTTTGTTGTGTCTTTTACTCAGAAAAGTTTTATTTCCAAATTATGACATTAAAGTGTGTGTACTGTCATGTTATAAAGAGTCTACAGTATATTTATTT